TATTGATACATTTTCCATTTAAAAGTTTATCTGTCTCTATCCAGAATGGTCTGGCGAAATGGTCTGTTGGAGGGTCTCTGAAACCATGTAGACGGTAATTAAAGGCTGCATACACTGGAGTGTCTTCCGAGAACATAGTAGCATATCCTTTATCATTGTAATTTCTGAAAATCCAGCGCCATCTGTCAACAGGTTGTGAGCCGCTCATTCTCCGTCGAGCCTCAGGTTGTTTATTCTCGTCGATTCCAGTGAGCATTCCACACAGCTGCGCAGTGGTGCCGTCCCCTATGATCGTCTCTCCTATCAAACACATAAAATTGAGGCTGAATCGTTTTTAGCGTTTTCAACCCTAACTGCAAATTATAAGAAGTTTTGTAGCTAATGATATAGAAATCTGTGAGATTATTCTGTTAACGCTGAAGCCAAAATATGTTAATTCCAATTTACAAACCAAATCGAAAAAAAATCCATAATTGTCGATATTTTCTAAAGAATAGATGTATGAATTTTCATAAATTGGTTAAAAAAAAGGTGGGACGATGAAAGAAAGGGTGACGTAGCAGCTGACTTTGGCTTTCATTTTTTTTTTTCCTCTTTTCAAATGATCACATAAAAGTAACTCATGTACGGAGAATTACATTCCCCACAATCGATCCGAGAAACTTGATAAACTTGCAACCGACCAAGAGCCAGAGAACGTTCATAACACTTCTTTAAAGAATAAAGATTAAAAATTTGTTGGCATAATTTGCGAGAATAGGACCTTGTTTACATTGAGAGCAAGAGCTAATTCATTGTCGGTTTTTAAATATTTTGTCTGTGATGACTTCTTTGCTGGAATTCCCTTGAAAGTTACATGTATTCGTTCGTTATTCCAAATCATTTCTGGAGTATTTTTAGAAGTTTAAACCGAATTCCAGACAGGTGTGACTAACATGGCCAAATATCCGTTATTAAATGAAGTAATTAATCCTGAAAAATTGAATTAACGCTTGCTGAACCAGTGATAATCATGTAAAGTAAATACCGGTGGTTAAAATGCAGTTGATTTCCTAATGTACAGGAGAATCCTGTCGGGGAATATCAGTTACAAATTAATTCATTGATTAAATGTCCTAGTAACTATTAATTATGTCACGGAATTGTAAATGATCGCATTAGAGAGTGTGACAGATTTCACAATATTATAAACAAAGTCCGCAGTTGATTTACTGTAAGAGAGATGTTGTAATTGCACGCGTTAAGTCCACCTAATAAGGAAGGGGGAAACGTGCTTTTGGGTAATAAGAGTTAAATATAGACATATTACAATAGGTTGGCTTGGGAATTTACTGTACTCGTGATTGTAGGGAAACGCTAGCTGGTAGTTACGCAAGGCGAACTATGAAAGGCTATAATATATATAGTTAAAGTTAGATTTGGAAGAACGTTTGAACTGTTACAACAAGAGAATTGATAGAATGAATTTTTGGAACGTCGGCGGAGTTCGTAGAAAATAAAACTTGGAAAAGAAGATAGAATACAGTCCTCTTCAATTAATATCGAATTAACCAGCGATTGCGGAGTCCGTATAGATTCCGCGACAAATCCTTAGACCTTTCTCACGGTGAAAGTTGCGACCACAAAATCATCGAAATAAATTGACAGTCGGTCACCTAGCTACCATCTCTTAGTATATTCACGTGTGACTGACGTGTTAAACTGACGATCCATTCCAAAGCAGTGGAACGATCTAACAGCCCTTTATCTCAAAAATAAAACAAGTAATAGAACTATACAAAATTTAACTCACCCTGCAGAAAGACGGTGTTTAAGTTCTTGGTCAGATACTCCAAGCTTTTGGGCAATTTTCTTTTAAAATTAGCGTGTGATGTGGAGTCGAACATGATCAGTGCTACATTTAGTGGAATACCACCAGGTTTCTGCTCCCGTTTGAGAACTTCCTTTTTAGGAAACACGTGCATGTGTACGTCACTTTTGGTCTCACCTGAAGACGTCTCGACGTCTACTCGGATGAAGTCGTAATCAACCGATACATTTCCACTGAAGATTCCTGCAGGTGCAAATAAGAACTTATGTAATAACTTGGCTGAGGGCTATGTGTTGTCCAGATACCAATTGGTGTAGTTAGGCGGGGTTAGATGATGAATGCGACCTCCTTTTGGTCAATTAAAAGTGATAATA